TCTATAGGGTTGCAGGTAAGACTGGACACAGTGAGTGAGTGAACTGCCTCCAGGCATTCAATAGCCTGTGGGGGGTTAGATGTGAACAAATACCGAATGAAGGTTAGATGTGCCACTAGCAAAAATAACTCAGTACACGCTCGTTCCGATTGTAGTCACTTCCACTTTTTTCAAAGAGGAATACATACATTGTTTAAGTCAATGGACATCTGTGTTCGGATATTCTCGTTCACAATCCTCCAAAAGCAAGAGCACACAGCGGAATCGGTTCTGAAGAACATTAATTGATGAATGAGAAACGTCTTCCTAACCTTACCGCTCCATTATTAGGCATCCGACACATCTGCTGTGACCATCCGATCAGTTCTCACGCGTAAAGGCACTGGGAAATCTGGAGTCCACGACAGCAGCTCTTGCATGTTGAGTAAGCGAATAAGAACGAAGCTCTACAACGAAATTTCACTTACAATACACATATTTTAGGCTTGATTCACAGCTAATTGACAGACTTCAGAAGACACAAATCCTATGAGGATAAACTAGGTTTGAAACAATTCTTATCATGAGCCAAGTGAAAATGTCCCATGTTCCTTTATTAGTGTGTTCGAGGTTGGATTTCATCCGACTAGTGAATTAGCAACGCAGTGATATGAAGTCCATGGTGTGTATACACTACATAAGGTGGACAGGAAAAATGTACCAGTGAATTATAGCATTATCAGTAATTAAATTGCCCAATTTTCAACTGGTAATGTGCAAAAGAATGCGGAACTGATTGCTAGTATCCGCCACCAAAGATCATTTTCTTTCAGCTGTGATTTCAAAGTCTATTTCAAATCAGTCTATGCTTAAAGACGGAACAGTGTTCAGCATCCCGAGACAGGCCAAATCAATGACTAGAGACACTGTCAGACGTGGCCCAGCCGCGCTCTCAATGGCCCTCTTGCATCCAAGCGCCTTCAGTGCATAGCTCCCTTCCCTTCCCGATTCCCCCCCCCCACCCCACACACTTAACAGTCCACTGAAAGTGCTGTGTTTACGCAACAGTTTATCAGCTTCCGCCTCCACTGCGCAGCTAATTACCCCACCTTCCAAATTCATCGGTGAACGAAACTGTGGCAGCTACTGTACGACACGCACGCGGTTCTTAAACTGAACCGATATGATGCCATGATCCAGTCAGTAATACGCGTCACATGAACCCTGGAGTGGTTCAAACCTGCGGTCTGCCGGTTATTAGTTGAAAACTACAATAATCTACCTCTGTGACTGATTGGTAAATGAATAAAGTTGGACTTTGGCTGTTCTGCGTACCAGTCATCGATCGTTATTCTGGATGGTACCAATTTGAAGCGGTTCATTTTCATAAACATGGATATACCGGTAGCACGGAAACTAAGGCATGCAAAGTTCGGCAGAATTCATCTAGATAATGGAATTACCAACGATCAGAATCATGGTTCTTTCCTTGTTGTTGAACAACAAAGACTTACTGCTTTCTCCGAAGCGTTCACCGGTCAATACAGTATTTGTATTAGTCACCTGAGTAACTATAAGATATACGGTTCACACTTTCCTATCGTGAATTTTGATTAATCTGGTAGCTGAACTGTTTGGCACTTAAGAGTCTCTTTATGTATGTTGTAGCTCCCCCCCCCCTGAAAGCTCAGAAAGCCCCAGAGTGCGAAACCGTCCAAAAAAGAACATTAGGAGCAGATCCACATTAATTCGTTGAGACCGGACAAGATGCTGAGGAATATAGACAAATTTAACTAGGATTTTTTGTTTGTGGTGGGGATCTCGTCATTTTTGTATTGTCAGAGAGGTGTGAAATATTTCACACTGGACATCCTTAAATGAAGTGTGAAAAACGGAAATCGCACACCATTTGATCCTGACTGCATGGAAGCAAGACCGTCAATCTTTCTCTCACCCCTTAACTGTACACTTTCTCACCCTCATTTCAGTATCCAATATTTCAGTTATTACTAATGAGGATGGTTCTTCATTGTGCGACAGCGATCTAAAATGCACTGAAAGAATGCAAAATGATCAATATGGTCCGTGATCATAAACTAAAAGCAAGTATGCAGAGATGCAACTTATCGCTTTTTATGGTGGTCAACGAAGCTAGTCCAGTTCCCTCAGCCAACTACCTGTCGACACATTCCAAATGCTTGATGTACTCGAGTACAATGGCCCAAAACACTTGTGGGACAGCTCTTGGACTGTACAGTGAGTGGGACGGTGTGAAAAGCAGGCTATCTGCCTCATATATTGACAAGATTCCAGGAAGATGTATTACTCTGATGCATGCAACCAGGGGATATTGCAATGGACGAAAAGGTGCACTAAATGTCCGACACTCAGAGCGCACATTCAGAAGCACTAAAACACTGCTTCAATGATGCCCATAAAAGTAAAGTAAGGTGAACAAACAGGACCCAGTTACGATTCCAAAACTTCTCGATTTCAGAAAACTAGCCGGGAATGAAGACGTGGTTTGAAAACACTAGGCCTTGAAAACAACAGGACTCCCTATTACGGGGTATGCAGAACACTTCAGTACTGACTTCAATGTTACTTATTACGAGTCATTAAGAGTCAAGTTTCATGAAAACAGTGAACAGTACTAACCATGCCATTCAAGATGGACACCTCCATCAGTCACTTAGTAATCCTTACTAATCACGTAAACATAGAAGCCCCACTCGGTAACGACATTCGAATAACTTTCAACGTGCAAACCAGTGTGATCCAAATACTGAATAGCATTGTTTCGACAGCGCCGCTTTATAATGGTGAACCTAGGTCCAGTGGCCGACGCCTAGGTGAACATCAGTAATTGCATCATTCGCTCCTGTTTATTTCAGAACAGCGCACGATTAAGTTGGTTGCATTTATACGGTAAAACTGCAGCCTCGGTTGAAAACGCACCAGTCGTGTGCGAAATCACGATGTTTATTCGGACTTGTCATCCGATATGGTTTTGCGTGACGGACCAATTCAATAGTTTGCTCTTCGGTTACTGATTATCCCGGTTACATGAATTAGATAATAACAAGCACACTGCCATACATTCTTGTTAGGTTGCATCCCCCGGTTCAACGAGATCTCCGTGAGAGAGAGAGAGAGTTCTCACCTTGAAATCGGCGATAGTTCATCAAAATCCACTGGCCAAAGCTAGTCACAGCGCCGAATGCAGTCATGCCTCTCGAGCCAGTCGATGATGCGTAGGAGGCAAACTGGACAGCCCATGGCATGAACCCTCGGAGGCAAGCACATTCTGCACCGTCATGCCCGGTTCAACAGATCTCCGTGAGAGAGAGAGAGAGTTCTCACCTTGAAATCGGCGATAGTTCATCAAAATCCACTGGCCAAAGCTAGTCACAGCGCCGAATGCAGTCATGCCTCTCGAGCCAGTCGATGATGCGTAGGAGGCAAACTGGACAGCCCATGGCATGAACCCTCGGAGGCAAGCACATTCTGCACCGTCATGCAATATTATACATACTCCAGTTGCAATCGGCTTGATTTTCCTGAGATAAGCGGCGAGCTCGTGACATTTAAATTGGCCTACAGACCACACAGTTACGTCAGTTGTTCCAGCACATATAGTTCCAAGGTCAAGTAACCAATCCAGGTTAGGTTTTCCACCAATTAAGTAGCCACGCCCGTTAGGGTAAATTATGGTGCTGGGACCTGATTACCACAACCTTCAGGTTGGCTAAATGGAAGTAGCCTTACCAATGGAGGCGAGTCTTTAGGCGTACGTTCGCCATAGTCATTAAGGATGGGGGGTGGAACGAGACATCACGAAGCTCTTTGATCATAGCACTAGAGATGCTGAGAACGCTGGTTATTGTTCGGGACGTGTTTTCTTCATATATCTACTGCACAGGCCACTATCACAACATTTAAACTGCACTGGGGGTGATTGGTGAAGCATCGAATAGAAACATCAGTAGTATTCATATCCCAATTCATTTTCCAACATACTCTCGAACGACTTCCAAGGGGTAGCGAGAACTATTCTTCTTCTAGAGGAACAAGCGATAAATCCTGGTGAAAATGAAAGCAGATGTTATCACCTTCATTTACTTCGCACAACTGAGAATTTTTTGATGTAATGCATCGACTCGCCTGACGACGATTATTAGTTCCGATGCTCTGTGGGGACTACATGTTTCTGATGTGTTGCAGCGCAATTTTGACTGGAATGTGTTCGCCGGAGCGACCAAGTTATCATTGAATGTCTCCTTGCCAGGAGATTAGTTCCCCATTAACGGATCCTTCCGGTAAAACAGCCACAAAGCTGGTGGCACAGTAGGTTGCCAAAAAGGATAGACGTGAGAATAGTCAAACATCGTACCATCGTAGGTTAACTGAAATGTGTTTAGAGTTACATCGGGTAGATTTCAGAATCCAGTAAACCACGAGGTATCTTCACAGGACTTCAACTAGATTCAATGAAACCGTACCATTAAATAGAGGACAGCATCATTCCGACGTTAACCACCAGAAGACATCCCCTGTCTACCGATTTGAGCTATTAACGAAGCTGTATACCTGGTATGACTTTGATGGGGATCCTAGCTACTAGGAGCTTCTCATAGCAATAGGTTTAGCGAGTTTCTACAATGTCACACGTGGCTATCCTAGAAAACCCTGGGGGTAGGTTGTAGCCCAACGAAAATGGTCAGAAAATTTTTGGCTACCTCTCCTTATCAGTATCATCATCACTCATCGATAGCCTGCCCATTTCCTCCAAGGATTAGAATTAGAGAAAACACGAAATAATTAACGATACATAACAGACGCTGAAATGATGATACTTGAACATACACGAACTCTCAAATAGGCTGCAAACAAAGCAGCCCGTCCATCGAAACACGATCATCCACCTGCACTCGCTCAACGTGTGTTTGCGTAAACCGCCTTCTGAGGATATCACTTAGCCCTTTAAGTTCTTAGTCAAATGTTCTCTTGCGTAGGGATAAAAACAGCTTCAACATAAGTCGTTTTCATCCACGCCACTCAAATTACCAAAACTGACCAATAGTGGGTCATTTTCGGCTCGATCCAACAACAAGTTACGAAAGTTAACAAGTTTGTAAGTTTGGCTGATAGCATCTGACGTTGACATCGTAAGCTGTCCCACACCAAAGTGAGACGGAAAACACCGTCAATCGAGCAAAGCGTTGTGGAACAAGCAGCAAATGCTGCTTGCACAAAAAGCGAACTCATTCCAGAAAACCGAAGATATAGTGTAAAAGTCATGGTATAAAAGATTAAAACCTAACACACATATACCAATTCTTAAAACAATTGCTACTCAACGGAAAGCGTTGAATGAAAAATACAAATGAATCGTTCCATAGGATATCACAGTTCTGTGCTCAATGAGATAACGGGAAAAAACATTGATTTATCCAGAAGATGGGTGGTTTAAATAGGCTAACGATGTCTGTGATAGATGCGTAAGACATAGTTAACAAACGTCAATCGCACGAAAGTGAGGACCACTCCAGTAACCAATAAACTTGCAGCTGAGAACAGAAGACGAGGGGCGAATATTTTCCAAACCATCAGATGTCGACGAAGTAAACACGCACTTAGGGCACATGCGAAGGTCTGGGAAGGAAGAAGAAACGGGGGTTGCAAATAAAAATGATCCATGTATATCTTTGTAATGTACTACTCATACTGAGAACATCCTAAACGAGGGATTCAGCTGGGTTCCAGTTGAGTCTCTCGAAAAAACCAAATTAGTTTGCAAATGAGTGTATATTCGCTAAAAATGATCCACATCGATTCATTCGGTGTCAGATAGGTCAGATACAATACAAAGTAACAAAATATTTGAACATACACGAACTCTCAAATAGGCTGCAAACAAAGCAGCCCGTCCATCGAAACACGATCATCCACCTGCACTCGCTCAACGTGTGTTTGCGTAAACCGCCTTCTGAGGATATCACTTAGCCCTTTAAGTTCTTAGTCAAATGTTCTCTTGCGTAGGGATAAAAACAGCTTCAACATAAGTCGTTTTCATCCACGCCACTCAAATTACCAAAACTGACCAATAGTGGGTCATTTTCGGCTCGATCCAACAACAAGTTACGAAAGTTAACAAGTTTGTAAGTTTGGCTGATAGCATCTGACGTTGACATCGTAAGCTGTCCCACACCAAAGTGAGACGGAAAACACCGTCAATCGAGCAAAGCGTTGTGGAACAAGCAGCAAATGCTGCTTGCACAAAAAGCGAACTCATTCCAGAAAACCGAAGATATAGTGTAAAAGTCATGGTATAAAAGATTAAAACCTAACACACATATACCAATTCTTAAAACAATTGCTACTCAACGGAAAGCGTTGAATGAAAAATACAAATGAATCGTTCCATAGGATATCACAGTTCTGTGCTCAATGAGATAACGGGAAAAAACATTGATTTATCCAGAAGATGGGTGGTTTAAATAGGCTAACGATGTCTGTGATAGATGCGTAAGACATAGTTAACAAACGTCAATCGCACGAAAGTGAGGACCACTCCAGTAACCAATAAACTTGCAGCTGAGAACAGAAGACGAGGGGCGAATATTTTCCAAACCATCAGATGTCGACGAAGTAAACACGCACTTAGGGCACATGCGAAGGTCTGGGAAGGAAGAAGAAACGGGGGTTGCAAATAAAAATGATCCATGTATATCTTTGTAATGTACTACTCATACTGAGAACATCCTAAACGAGGGATTCAGCTGGGTTCCAGTTGAGTCTCTCGAAAAAACCAAATTAGTTTGCAAATGAGTGTATATTCGCTAAAAATGATCCACATCGATTCATTCGGTGTCAGATAGGTCAGATACAATACAAAGTAACAAAATAATTAACTGTCAAGCTGTAACATCTTTTCGGTGCCTATCTGCCATGCCACCAGAAGGAAGCACGAAGGCTGGGATACTGCCAGGTTATCTAAGCCTAGACAGGAGAAATCGGGATGCAGAGGTCGGGTTCGAACCACAAACCTTCCGGTCAGTAAATCTGAGCCCTACCCACTGAGCCACTTCGCCAACCGCCCTCCATAAGACATAGCACATCGGAGACATTTCAGTTCAAATGGTATGGTAGCTGGGAATCCTGTTGTACTTTTTTCCTGCTTAAACCACAACGAGATTTTATTCTCTTCGCTCTGTGTCGATTGAATTATCAAGTAAAAAATTACGAACACCGCTAGCAACAAGTGACTGGATTAGAAATAACCTTCGCCAGTCGCTTACAGTTTGACAATATCTATGCATCTGGATTCTCTGTTTGTACAGCAATTGGCCTACTCTTATGAGCAGAATAACAGTGGTCGGCTGAATGAGAGCCTTCTGCAGTAGTGCTGTCAAAAACTGCGGTCACCATAGCAAAATACAAACTATTGAAAAAAATGCTGGCTAATGTGCTGGAACTTCGTAGGACACTTATATATTCGATTAGACCCAATTTCTCTTCACATATCTGTAAATACTCTAGTTTGGAGCTCCTCCACCCTTGTTAGTCCACCTTCCCCATCTGATCAGTTTCTTTGAGTTTATTCAACTCAATGCCAATATCATCATCAATGACAGCAACACCAGTGTTGGCACTGATGCTTCACCGCCGTACAACCATAAAGTTCGTTTATATATATATATATATATATATATATA